GGGGCCCGGGGGCTCCTGGGCGCGGGCAGCCCTCTGCCCTCTCGGCCACTACCACATGTAGGTAAGTCCCCGGCCAGGCGTTAAGGGAGGGAGCTGGGAGGAGGTAGAGGGAAGTCGGGAAGTATTGGGGTACTGGGGCTGGCTGGAGACTCTGCTAGAGTCCGGCCAGAGCGCCGCCCGCCTAGCTTTGCTGTCCTGGGCCTTGGGCCGGGTGACTTGGCGATGGAGTGGAGAGGGAAGGAGGGGGAATGCCCGCATCCCCTGCCCGGTTCCCGAGGACACTTTCGGGCTCAGGTACTAGCCACTGAGAGGTCTGCCCAGCGACCCTTCAGAATCCTGGAAAGGCAGTCGCTGCTCCCCACAACCGACGTCTCACTCCTCTGGGGCCTAGCTGACCGTTCCACCCGGTGCCGGGTGCCGAGTGGGACGGCTGATAGGGTTTAGAGAAAAGGATTTTTCTAGCCTCATCCCAGGCCTAGGCGGCAGGCTCCCCTCACCCTGGCGCTGTTGCCACCCGAAGCTTGGCTGAGCGGCAGCGGCCCGGCCGGGAGGAGCCTGGAGAAGGGAGAATTGGCCAGGAAAGAGGCTGGCACTCCAACTCCTCCTTGGAACTTTCACTTCCCGCTGCTGTCTTGGGCCGGGGGCCGAGAGGGCAGGCGGGGGTGGAGTGTCCGGAGGAGAGAGGGCCATTGTGGAGGGGGGCACTGGGGGAGGAAGCCGAGGCTGTGGGGAGCGGGTGTGCCTGACTGGGCACGGAGATGTTTAGGGAGGTGGGGGTGTTTGCACTGCTCACCCAGAAATGGGCGTTCCCAGCATCTCAGATGTGAGGGAAGGGGAGGGTGAGTGGGCACCCAGCCACAGGGCTTAGCTCAGTCCTGAGAGGGGGCGGGGTGGGGGGGTACTGGGAGGGAGTGGGAACAGGGGAGGGTCTCTTCTAGAACCTGGGTTGTCTGGGGTGGAGAACAAGGAGGGGCGGCAGGCTGCTGGCTGAGCTGCTTTCTGTAGGGGTTTGTGGATGGGGGGAGCCCCCTCCCTCCAGTGTTCGCTTCTGAGTCCCAGTGCACTCTGCGGGAGCCCCGTGGGCACAGAAGGGCCCTAATGCGGGGAGGGTGGTCTAAGGGCACCAGGCACCCCCAGCCCTGGTGCTGATTCCTTCTGCACTATCTTGGGGTACCCCGGGACCCTGCAGGTGGCACTGAGGAGCAGCAAGTGAGGCCAGAGAGGGCCCTGAGTGGGTCCTCAGAGCCCCAGGTCCTTCAGGATGACCTCCCAGTTAACCTAGCAGAGGCACTTCAGGTGAGCTCCCGTCTCCCCTCCACCAAGTAGACGGCCCCCCAATGCCAGCATGAACAGGTGACTCAAGGCCAAAGCATGGCTGAGTGGGTGAGTGGACCTCACCGGTCCATCCCAAGGCTGCCTGCTGTCCCCACCATGCCCGGCACCTGGCTTCACTTACCTCCCTACTCCCCA